AGTTAATTTTTGGCAACCATACTTCACTCTCTTTCCTTCCCACTGATCAGTTTGGCTACGATGTTTATTTTGATTCAGTTTGTTGTAGATTATATAGTAATTAGGCTGTCAGCTATTTAATAGGCTTGTTTTCCCCAACTTGGCTCCTTGCCTATTCTTGAAGCAACCAAACCTTTTCTTTGAACTTAGAAACACAACTGAATAAAACTGTTGTTAACCAGTATTATCTACAATTAGACTCATAAACTTAACATTCAATATTTATAATTCCTAGAATGATCAAGTTTGAGTCATACGGACCTTAAATAAGTCATCTAATATACTAGATTTGTCATATCTAGATTTGTTTTTGTTAAGTATTATGACAGTAATATAGACTCTATCCAGCGCATATTTGAATTGAATCTTATTTGTCTTACCCTTAATTTGCCTCAGATTTCATTTTAACATCTTTCAGAATTTCATCGACTTTTTAAAAATAAATCTTTATTGTTCAGATTATTACAATTGTTTCTCTCCCCCCAAAAAAATCTCCCCTCCACCTGGTTCCCACCTCACCCTCTGCCCTTACGCCCGCCCGCACCCCCCTCTTCCCCCCGCCCCCCCTTCCCCCCGCCACTGTCCTCATCTATAGGTATATGATTTTTGTCCAGTCTCTTCCCGCACCCCCCCGCACCCCTTTCCCTCCGAGAACCGGGCTGAGGTAGGGAGGTGGGAATTGAGAAAAGAAAGAAAGACAGGAAAACAGGATCGGGAGGACTGCAGGTAGCTGTAGGCCGACTGCAGCAAGTTTATTAACTGCGTAATGGCTTTTATATACAAAACATTGAATAGGAGGTCTGTCTGTTCCTCGTAATCTCTAAGGGAGAGATAGAGCAGAAGGACAAATTCTCGGTACAGCAAAACTCAGTAAATAGTTACAGGCTTCTTGGCAAGCCATGAAAGGTGGCTCTCATTCTACTGATAACCGCTATCCGAACAAGCCTGGGAAGACTGCGCAGCGGCTAGCCTTGCTTGCCCCTTTGGGTGCAAGGACTGTGTCAGCTTACACCCGGTCTCTAACACTTACAATTAGTTCTGATTCCCCCAGCCTCTCCACCTCCAGTTTTTATTTTATTTTAATTGCCTCATTTTGGACAATCTCCAGTCATAATGTACTCTGCTTGAGACCCCGGTGTGTGGCATGTAGGAGGCAGCTGATCAACGATTCTCTCTCATTGTTGATATTTCTCTCTCTCTCTCCCTCTCCCTTTCTCTCTGAAATTAATTTTTAAAATGTATATATATATACATTTTAAAAAACCTTTCTGTCCTGTATCTGATAGCTTGGACCACACCTTTCAGCACATTTTAAATTACTTTTCTAGAGATTTTTTTACGTTTGCCAGTGTAGAACTGGATCTGCTAGTTTTCTGCCCATTTATGTAACCTTCAGCTCTTCCTGTATATTTTCCACTATCAGCTTGGCCCTTAAGTAGCCAGAATTGCTTTAGAAATTTAGGAATGTTTCTAAATATTGCTCAAGTATTAGTATCATTAGTGTACTTGACAATTTCTGAGTATAAATCTTCTTTTTAATTTATAACTCTTTTAAATAAGACTGTTTCTAGAACTAGTGTTTAAACTTTACTTTCCAGAGATTTGCTCATTTATCCTCATATTCTATTTTCTTGTCTTCAACTATAATGCAGAACAATTCCTTTTGTCCCATACCTCTCAAGACCCTTGTCAGAAATCTTTTAAATATAATTTCATTTAGTTTACAAAGCTAAATAGCTTTTCCTCTCATTTTATATTTATTTTAAGCATTAATCAAACACCATTTTGGAAATATGAAGCTATTTAGAAAATGTTTAAAGAGGTAATGATTGCCTTAGAGACTCATGTGCATTTCTTGTCTTTTTTTTTTTCTTCTTTTTTTTTCTGTTGAATTACTGCATTGACAATAAGGGCTCTATGAGGAGGTTCATCCTTTCATCCTTTGGATTTCAATTCTCATTTTTTTGTATCCATGTTGTCAAAAGCTTATTTTGTCTGTTCTAAAATTTTAACTTCTTAATTGTTTCCCATTCTCTTTTCTGCCCAATATCTCATCTTAGGAGTTCTATACATTTTTAAAATGTCAAGAGCTAATCCATCCTAATATGTTAATGAGAGGATGCTTTCATTTCACCATAGCCAGAATTGACCATTTCTGAGCCCTTTTTTTTGATGCTGCTGTTGATTATAAATTCCACTATTCTAAGGAGCAAGCCTATTCCAAGCACTTCACATATATTCACCCAACTCTGACAGTAAGCCAGTGAGGTAGATACTATTATTCTTTTCCTGTTTTGTTTTTGAAAAAATTAAAGCAGAACCCTGGCTGGGTAGTTTGGTTGGAGCATCATCCCATGCACCAAAGGTCACAGGTTTGATTCCCAGTTGAGGTACATCCTCAGGTTGCAGATTTGATTCCTGGTTGATCCATGTTTCTCTCTCTCACCTCTCTCTCTCTCTTTCTCTCTCTCTGTCTCTCTCTCTCTCTCTGTCTCTCTCTTTCTCTCTCTCTCATCAGTGAAAAAATATATCAGGTAAGGATTAAAAAAAGAAAATTGAAGCAGAGAGAAATGAGGTAACTTGCCCCAAATCACACAGCTAAAAGGAGTCAGGATTTGAATCAAAAAGTCAGTTCCAAATAACACGTTTAATCCTGTTATATATTTTAAATGACAATATGTTTGGTATTATTTTTCAAATTTGTCTTAAATTTTTCATCTTCAATATATCAGACAAAATGTGTACACAAAATGATAAATAGGAGGTATGTAGTACGAGAATTTTTATTCATGATACTAGATTCCTTTTTATAAAGAGTTCAAAGTGTGCTTAGTTTGCTTCAGAAAGCTAAAACTGCCATATATTCATTGATTCACCAAATATTTATTCAGTGCCTAACAAGTTATTGGCACTCTTCTAGGTACATGGGATATATCACTGAATAAAAAAGATAAATATCTGTTGTGAAGGACCTACATGCAGGGAAAAAGGGTGCCAAAGACAATAGATAGGAGTTATTTATTATGTTTGAAAATCATTGCTCTGTGAAAAAAACAGAGCATTGGGAATATGGAGGTGAACTCAAAGAAGATGACATTTAAGTAAAGACTTGAAAGACGTAAGGGAATTAAATGTAAGTGTCCCAGGTAGAGGCCACAGGCAGTACAAAGGCTCTAAGGTAGAACTGTGTGGTGTGCACAGGAATACCATGGAAGCCACTTTGGCTGGAGCAAAATGAGCAAGGGGAGGAAAAGACATAGTAGGTGGGCAAGAGGGGTCCAAGATAATGGAGGGCCTTATAAGCCATTGTAAAGAATCTGGCTTTTCCTCTGAGCAAAGTGAGGAGCCATATCTTGATTTCCTATTATGACAGCTATTATACCTGGTCTTTCATAGACATTATTTTACTCTAGAGACCCGGTGCATGGATCCGTGCACCGGTAGGGTTCCTTAGCCGGGTCTGCACTCTCTCACAATCTGGAACCCCTCAGGGGATGTCAGGTAGCTGGTTTTGACCCAATCTCCACAGGCCTGATACAAACAGGAGGGAGCCCCATCCTTTTCATTGAGCGTCTGTCCCCTGGTGGTCAGTGCATGTCATAGCAACTGGTTGACCAGTCGTTCAGTCATTCAGTCATTTAGGCTTTTATATATATAGATGCTCTTATCCAGAGTCCTAGAAGGTAGATGCTTTTATCACCCCATTTTATAGAAGTACTAGTAGATACTGAAGTTTAAAGACTGAATATCCTTACCAAGGCAGTACAGTTTATATGTGAACAGTTTATATGGATTCAGTTCCAAACTATATTACTCTTAAAACCCATGTACTTAACCATTAGGCTACTTAAGTTCCAGTTTGTGAGAAACATTTTGAATATATTATGGACAGAGCTCAAAAAGTAGAATCAGTGAAGTTTTATTGGTGTTATTTTATAATATTACTAGAGGCCCAGTGTATGAAATTCGTGCACGGGGTTGGGGGGGGGGGGTGTCCCTCAGCCCAGCCTGCACCCTCTCCAATCTGGGACTCCTCGGTTTAGACCCAGTGGGATTGGGTCTAAACATGCAGTCGGACATCTCTCTCACAATCCAGGACTGCTGGCTCCCAACTGCTCGCCTGTCTACCTTCCTGATTGCCCCTAACCATTTCTGCCTGTCAGCCTAATCACCTCCTAACCACTCCCATGCCAGCCTGAATGATGTCTAACTGCTTTCCTGCCAGCCTGTTTGCCCCCAACTTCCCTCCTCTGCCGGCCTGGTCACCCCTTAACTGCCCTCCCCTTCAGTGTTGATCACCCCCAACTGCCTTCCCTTGCAGACCTGGTCCCTCCCGACTGCCCTCTCCTGCTGGCCAACTTGTGGTGGCCATCTTGTGTCCACATGGGGGCAGCCATTTTGTGTGTTGGCGTGTTTGTCAATTTGAATATTATCCTTTTATTAGATAGGATTAGATAGGATAGAGGCCTGGTGCACAGATGGAGGCCATCTGGTTTGCCCTGAAGTTTATCCCACATCAGGGTAGGGGATCCCTTGGGGCGTGGGGCTGCCTGGGCGAGGGGCCTGTGGTGGTTTGCAGGCTGGCCACGCCCCCCTAGTGACCCAAGTAGAGGCCCTGGTATCTGGAATTTATTTATCTTCTATAATTGAAACTTTGTAGCCTTGAGAGGAGGCCTGCCAGGGCAGGCAGAAAGCTTGGCTTCCTCCATTGCTGGAGTCAACCCAAGCCTCCTGCTCTCTCCATAGCCGCAGCCATCTTGGTTGGGTTAATTTGCATACTTGCTCCTGATTGGCTGGTGGGTGTGGCTTATGGATATAGCAGAAGTATGATCAATTTGCATATTACTCTTTTATTAGATAGGCTTGTATATTTAAATACAGTGTTTTAAAATATATATTTTATTATATGGGAATATCTTTTATATTTAAGGATATTGACTTTCTGGTTTTTTCCTCCACAGGTGGCATAGATATAGATGCATTTCAAGATCGTGAGGAAGGCCGTGCAGGGCTGGATGATAACGAGGAGGTTATGCGGGCACTGCTCATTCATGAGAAGAAGACCCCCTCTGCTACCGCTGGCTCAGTGGGGGCAGCTGCTCCTGTGACCACTGCCAATGGCAGCGACTCGGAGAGTGAGACCAGTGAGTCAGATGATGACTCCCCACCTCGTCCCGCTTCTGTGGCTGCACATCACCGAGAGGATGACGAGGAGGATGACGAGTTTGAAGAAGTAACAGATGACCCCATTGCTATGGTGGCTGGTCGTCCATTCTCATACAGCGAAGTGAGCCAGCGGCCAGAGCTGGTGGCGCAGATGACACCAGAGGAGAAGGAAGCGTACATAGCAATGGGACAGCGCATGTTTGAGGACCTCTTTGAATGAGCTGTCCCTACATTTTCCTCCTTTCTCTAATGCTCATTTCAAAAAGAAAATACCTACCTTTGAAGAAAAGTATTTAAGTGGCTTTCTGCCCTTCTTGGTGTAAAGCGACTATTAATCTTGCGCAAAAACAAAAACAAAAACAAAAAACACTGGGAGAGAAAGATTGATTTTTATGAAAGAAACTTTCCCAAAAGGTAGGTTGGCTGCAAGCGTTCCTTTCCCCACTACTAGTACAGTATTGCCATTTTATTATATTTTCTTATCTAATCCTTTTCCTTTTTAAGATACGTTCTTCTCCCTTGTGAAATAAGTGAGGGAGGTAAATTCTTTCTGTCTGCCTGCAGAAGCCCACTATGGCAGGTTACAGTAATTCACTGATCACATTTTTTAAAAACTATTCTGAGCCAGCATTCCGAACAATTCCTGGTATTGCTGCTAGCTAAAGCAGCTTGCCAACAGCAAATCATCTGATGAGGGACAAAACAATCTTAAAACTTCAATTGAGAATGATGTCAATAAGTAAGGGGAAGTTGGGAATGTGTGTGGAAGAGGGATGGATATGCCTAAATCTCACAGTTAATATCTAGTAACCCAAAATTTGTGTATTTAGAACGGACCTGACTGGAAGAGTGTATTGTTTTGCTTATTGCCTTTTGGTTTGTATGTTGGATGATAGAAAACAGAAAGTATTTTGGTAATCCCTTATGAAGAAATTGGGAGAAAAAATAAAAATGAACAAAGGACTTCCATGTAAAGGGTAGAAAAGTGAAGAGCGTTGAGAATAGTACCTTTTAGAATTGCCTGAGTTTGTGCTGATTTGGGAATCCTTCTTAGAAAGGTGAGACTGCTCCCTTCCCTCTTCTTCTACCGTGCTGTCAATAGTTTAATGAGGACATTTCAGCAGAAATCAGCACATAGCAATTGATATTCCTCTCTCAACACCATTGAATGCCGTCTTTGTTTCTCTATTGATTGTTGTCAGACACGGTATTATAGAGTACACCCAGTATATTGTTGAGCATTGTAACCTCAAGGAACATAGTTTATCATTTCAGTTCTGCTATGTAACATGGTATTATTTCATAAGGCAGAACTTTAAAAGCAAGGACCTTTCATACAAGGATCTATAACAATTGTATATTTTGTAATATTTCCCTTTGCATTGTAAGTTTTAAGTATTTATCGTTTTTTATAGTATATGTGTGAAGTTAAGATAGATTTTAGAGTTATCTGAGCCTTGTAGGAAGTGGTGTTTCATTTATTAGTACATAGTTGTATGAATGATTGAATATTAACAGACTATTTTATACTGACTAAAATTTGTTCATTTACAGCTCTGTAACATCTTGGAACATAATTAAAATGAATATTCTCCCATTAAAAAAAGTTTCAGATTTTGTTCTTTTTTAGTTATATTTTAAATTATAGATGCAGTAGTGGATGGTTCAAACTTTTTTTGGCAATAGTTGTCTTAAGAGTGACTTTTAGCCCTGGCTGGTGTGGCTCAGTTGGTTGGAGCATCATCCCCTACCCAGGAAGGTAGTGGGTTTGATGTTTTTTAACATTAATGTTTCTCTCTCCCTCTCTCTCTCTCTCTCTCTCTCTCTCTCTCTCTCTCTCTTTCTCTCTTTCTCTCTTTCTCCATCTTTCCTTTCTTTCCTTTTTCCCTCCTTCCCTCCCTCTTTTCCTTCTGCCCTCCCGTTCTCTCCCTTCCTCTCTCTAAATCAATGACCAAAAAAAGAAAAAAAAGAATGACTTTCATAATAAAGTTTCTATGAAGTTTCCCTTTGGAGGAAAAAAACGCACTACTATTATGTATGTACCTTGTACACATGGGCTGTTCAACTTTTAAATAGTTTTTTTTTTTTAACTTTTATAGTTGTAGAATCAAGTTCATAAAATAGTAATCAGATATAAAATTTTAAAAACAGTTGTAGGTTAACTGTCATCCTTTTTATTAAATAAATGTTTTCAATAATTTTTCTTGAATCTGACTTGCATGTCCTTCCTAAAGCTACTATTCTTTTTCTTTCCCATTATCTACCAACTTCTTAAATAATCAGACAGACTATTTACATACTTCTTTCACCTCCCTCTTGCAGTTTAGGTTTTGCCCTATTCCTACATATAAACAGCTTTCTCCAGTCCTAATTGCCCAACCTAACAGTCCTTTATTCCTCAGTTTTTTTTTGGCTGCTCTTTATTATTTGATGCCATCAACTCATTCTGTCTCCTTGAAACACTTTCATTTGATACCCTAGTCTTTACACTGACTCATTACCTCATTGGCTATTAATTCTCAATCTTTAGACTTCATTTTTTTTTTTTCTCCATGTATCAGCATATCTCAAGGCCTAGTTCTCTCTCTCTCTCTCTCTCTCTCTCTCTCTCTCTCTCTCTCTCTCTCTAAGTTTATGTAATGGAAAAAATGTCAAAAATGAAGACAAGCCCTGGCTAGGTAGCTCAGTTGTTTGGAACATCAACCCATGCACCAAAAGGTTACAGGTTCGATCCCCTGTTGGGGTGCAAACAGGAGGCAAGATGAAGAATAAGTATATTCGTTACAGCAGTGTTTGAAATAGAATAGGTACATAGGTATACTAAATAGGCATTAATCAGGAATTAAATAATTTTCTGTGAACCATTTAGCCATTAAAAAGAATGTATTGATAGGAAAAGTTATCCATAATGTCTTATTATAGAAGGATTTTGTTTTTCTCTCTGTGTGTGAAGAAACAATTAGTAGCTAATATATGTGTTGAGACACTAACTTCTTTACATATGTTGACTCATTTAATCTTTATCACCTGTGAGATAGATATGTATACAAAGATATATATAATTAGAGTTGAGAATTACAGTGGTCTTAAGTTATAATGGAAAAGATATTTCCATTTTGAAAAAAAGAATCAAATAGACATTTAAAAAAGTTCATGTAGAAGATACCTGGTAGAATTAAAGAAATAAAGTGACAGTGCTCACTTCAGCAGCACACAGACTAAAATTGGAACAATACAGAGAAGATTAGCATGGCCCCTGCACAAGGATGACATACCAATTCGTGAAGTGTTCCATATTTTTTTTTAAAAAGAAATAAGAGTGACAAAAGCAAGCTTTTTATATTATTGCTAGGATTTTTAGGTGTTTCTTTTTTAAATCCTGGGTTTATCATTTCCTTATATAAACATCTCTGAATTTATACTCAAAATTAATAGGGAAATATAGCTTAATATATAAAATTTTGTACATGACCCCACATTTCAATAACATATCTATTAGAGTAACTCAATGGAGTTTGATGTTACTTTACCCAACAGGGTTATGGATGTTGAGTGGCACAATAATCTGGTGAGGAAAGCCAGTCAGTGACAGGATGACCCAAAATGGGAGCCCTCCCAATTAGCAGCTCTCGGAAGGGCAGACTTACACCCAAGGTTCGTTGATACATGTGGTCACAGTGTTGCTGACCTCCGGGATATGGAATTGTTACCATCCACAGCCTAAAAGAATGGTAACTCCTCTCTGAGATTGGCTGTATTAGTATAACTCAAGTGTCAGCTACCCACGTGTCCCACTATCTTTAAAGATTTAAATAGAACAGTTTTATCCTAACACCATGGGATGCTTCTTCAGTATTATTTGTTTTGGGAAGTGTGGGGAAGGGCTTGGTGGTTTATATCATCCTGCTCTGCCTTCTTGCTTCCTTGGCTTCTCCACCTCTCCTCTGTACTACCCGTACTGACTCCCCGAGTGTCATCGATGCAAACCTGTGTAATAGATCCTCACTGAAGTTCTTATAGTGATGGGAAGGGGACAGGCAATGAAAGGGGGTATTGTCTCGGCATTGCATAGTTCAGGCATATAAGGGTGGATCATATACATTCTTGTTCTTAAAAAAGAGTCTCTTGCCATTCTCAGAGTTCACCTCAAGGACAACCCTGGCTTTAAATCTTGCTAAAATTTCCACTCTTTTTTTCCTTCTCTTCAATTATCTCTTTCTTTCCAAAGGCCTTGGAATGTTATAAATGTGTTAGAGGAAATAACTTTGTTCTTTGTTTTATTCCTATTCCAAACAGTGCTGTGAATCATCCTATCACATCCAAAGTGGCCTATCAGGATGTTTCCCTAACCAAGGAGCTATCTCCTCTAGGAGTCAGCATGGAAGTTTAACTGTGGCTTTTAAAGGAACTTTTTTCTCTTCCCACTGCACTAAAATGAATTACTTATATAATATATAAGTAAGGTCATATATAAACAGTACTGGCTACAGGGAATCCATAACCTTATATCTGGTTGAAAACTGCTTTTATTCTATAATACCTGCCCTTGAAGTTAAAGCCTTTTTCTTATTAAGATGCCCCCTTTCCCTTAAACAGCTTAAGGAGTATTAAGTTTAAATGACTAAAAGAAATTATCTAATTTGGCATAGCCCGGAAGTCAGGAGACTTAAGACTTATCATACTTGCACTGTGATACTGTTATCTAAGGTATTCTTTCTGGGCTGATTTCTCAGCTGTCAATAATGAAAGGATTATGCTACCGTGTTTCCCCAAAAATACAACATCCTCCGAAAATAAGACCTACTTACAGGTTTCCTTCTGAGTGAAATATAAGGCATCCCCCTGAAAATAAGCCCCCCTCCCCCCCCAGGCTAAACATGAGAGATTTGGTCCACTGATTCTGAAAGAAATGGAGTCACAAGAAATTCACCAGGAAATTCAGGAATTGGATTGTTATGGTGATGTTCCAGAAGATGATGACCTGATTGTCATTGAATAAATGAGTGAATTCTTGATACTGTAGGATTAACAGTTTGTCTGGTTTGTGTTGACAACTACCGTACTACTGTACCGTATACAGGTAATAAATTTCCTTTATTTTCATTTAACAATAAATGTGTACCATATTCTTCATGGAAAAATAAGACATCCCCTGAAAATAAGATCTAGCGCATCTTTGGGAGCAAAAATTAATATAAGACACTGTCTTATTTTCTGCGA